TACCAAAAATTAACCGGACTAACGACCGCAAAACGACCCCCAACATGGAAGTATTGTCGTTTTTTCAATTAGCGACCGTCCAGAGAATCGCCAATATCGTCGTCTTTTCAATAGAATACTTTTTCACGACCATACTAATGCTTTTCTGGACAGTCGTTTTCCACAGTCGGTTTTAAGTCGCTAATTGACAAACGACCACAGGATTAGGATGGATGATCGTTTTATGGTCGTTTGTGCGGTGAATATAAGGTATAAAACGACTGTTCGTTTTTTTAGTGTCGTTTTTACGGTAGTTAAGATTGTTAGGAACAACATTGACTTGATTTTAAATATCATTTATCTTATATTTATTTATGAATTTTAATACGTTGTTTGAAGCTTCATATTTACTGATATCTAAAAAACGATTATTTTATGGCAATATTGAAGAATATGTAAATTATGTATGGGTTATGTATGATTCAGGTAGTTTGTTTTATTTTTACATATTACTAAAAGAGTATATTTTGTATCTTGTGCTCGATTTAACCATATACACGGAAATACTCCGTTACCAAAGTCAATAAAATGTGTTTCATTTTCAATGATTAAATAATCACAGTTGTTGTTAACCCTCACAAGGGCCTGGATTGGAACTTGGGCCCACAGCTGTCAGATCGAGACAGAGAGGGGTATGTGAACAGAATGGAAAAAGGCAGCGCGTTGCGGTTCAGTCTGTCGCTCTATACGTGCGGGTATTGCTCAGGACGTGAACCCGTCTCTGTGGCGGGCGTGCGGGTAGGCAGTTAGCGGCCGTCGAGGATGAGTGACCCGTAAATGTGAGAGATGCTGAATGTTGCAAAGTGAGAGTGGACCTCTGGGACAGTAATGAAGTCGAAAATGTCTTCAACGCGAAGATATGCGACCGCGAACGGATGCTGGAGACACAGGGCCGGCACACCCGGTTCTCATCGGGCATAGGGTCCGTCGTCGGATGCCGTGTTCAGGGTCGTGGCTCAATGGGTAGGAGGGCCCGTGAGATTGAACCCGACGTTGGCACGGTCGATGCAAACGGCCCCTGAGATTGGGTGGGCATAGGGCCCGACGAGCGGAGCCTTGGACTCAGGCTAGGCGGTGGCATCGATTGTTCGCTCGAAATGCGCTAAGGGCCGGGCTCGGCGACGTGGGTTCCGGCCTGCGGGTCGCTGTGAGAATGATCGTGTGAGATGGCGTGGTTAATGTAAAGCGATTTTCGACGTGTTGAGATTTATAAAAATAAAGACTAAAGTCTATCGGTTGTTATCGAATTCAATGTGTATGCGCCCCAATCCATCTTCTGATCACCGGCCGTGTCTTGCCGAGCAGGTGAGAGCTTCATGCTCGAAATCTTAGGGGCGTTAATGTCAGGCACAAGACATCTCGATTGTCGTTCCTAAAGACTTAGCAAAAGATTTCAAATTTATTTAGTTCTTTTAATGATCGCCATATACGCATATACGTTAATATATTAAGATTAATTTTACCATAAAATAAATGGAAGAACGATACAACGACTTTTTTCATATGCATCGCCGATAGCGAAGGGGTTAAGCTGATACTCAATTTTCTCTACGTAATGTAGTATACTGTACTTATATACTTACTACACATAAATAAGTCGTCAATCCTGAAACGAATCTAATTTTATGAAATATTCGAATACGATATTTTCCGCCTTTCGCGGTAATTATAAAAAAGAATTTTAAATGTAGCAAGTGATTAATTTCATATTAAGCAAACGCTTGGTAGAATCGATAAACGTTCAAGTTTCGCGACTGCAGTAATGAGAATAGTACCGTAAAAGCATAATATTTTCTAACACGAAAACATGCTTTTTTATGTTGCACAAGCTCCTTCGACCCGTGTCTAATCTCGTTGGATCAAAGCTGGGGAAAATAGGAAGTAATTTACTCTCGCCAATATCCGGTCTACGTACTGCAGGTTTCCTGACGGTGAATTTAATTTGCCAAGTATTCCGAGGGAAATGCCGGCTGGCGTGTATATCACAGTTTCGTGAAATCGCACGATCCGCCAATGAAGGAAGGACTGAACGTGTGTCGTAAATTCGAAGCCGTTTAATGATATGAAGATACGAGATCTTCTATCCTGTCATCTCCACCCCCCTTTGAATCTCCTGTTATCCATATCGACTTTACGTACATGAAATCACACATTTTAACATACGCTAACCTGACCTATCCTTATCCTGATGTCATTCGAACTGTATTTCGACACATTTTTGGCTTACAATATATTAGCTATATATATATTAGCAATATAATAGCTATAGCGCCGTAACATTTCGCGCCGGTTTGAACCTATTCATTCTACACAAGGACATTGAGACTGATATCAAGATTATGGGGTAAGAAAACTCGAGTGAGTTACTACTAGTTTGAGCCTTAAGTTATCAGTCATATCCAAAAATGATGATATTAGGTTGAAAATGGTGTTACCCTCATTTTGAACATTAAAGTCTTATTTTCAAGGTAGAAACATTAGGACTCAGTTAGACCAATGGCACAGGACAGCAAGCAGAATACTGTGAGCAATGGGGAAATATCATCGAGCTCGTGACGTCATAAATCAGATCCAATGCATTTTGCCTATTGGTCGCTACCTGCTGCTCGCTGCCTGGTGCTTTTGATTGGAATCAGCCCTTAGGCCCATTCTCGGCTTGGCTACCCTAACTAGTGATTTCAGTGGAATCTCCGTGTTAGTTTTATATACAGGGTGTTCATTATGAAACGCACTGTAGTAACATCGTTGCGTTCCTTGTAAAATTCCAAAGAATACGTGTATTTTCATTTTTTATTTCATATATCAAAATTTCGAGATAATCAAGGTTGAAGTTGCAGTAATGCGACCAATCAGAACGCGTTTAAGCGGAGCGTAGATGACGTCGCAAGCCAGCCCGCAAGGCCTGCTTACAGGAGGCCAATAACACTAAGATTATCGTCGCAGTGTCCCTGTTTATCTGCATGTAATTGAGTAAGATACAAGAGACGATAATCTTAGTGTTATTGGCCTACTGTAAGCAGGCCTTGCGGGCTGGCTCGCGAGGTCATCTACGCTCCGTTTAAACACGTTCTGATTGGTCGCATTACTGCAACTTCAACCTTGATTATCTCGAAATTTTGATATATGAAATAAAAAATGAAATTACACGTATTCATTAGAATTTGAAAAGGAATGTAACGGTGTTACTACAGTGCGTTTCATAACGAACACCCTGTATATATATATTGTAACAAAAATGTTACTGCAGACTCCCCTCCGCCTCCTGGCTCGGGGTCCGATAGGCCTCGAGTACGACGTGCCCGGGAGAAGTTTGACAGACCTGGAGGCCGCTATCTTGACCGGCGCGCGCAGCCAGCACGCGTGCCGGCAAAGCCAGCGCCGTGCCGCCGACACGAGGCCCTGGAAGGCCCGGCGGTCCACCAAATTTGAAACGGACCAATGCCCTGCCATGCCGGAACTGTCGACCAATGCCGAAGCACGTAGCCCTCTCAGCTGAGCAGCCCCAACCAATGAACGAGGCCCTGGAGGCCCACGAGGGCCAGGACGACGGGAATCACGACACTTCGAGCCGCGCCATCTTGACCGGCGCGCGCAGCCAGCACGAGCGGCGGCAAAGCCAGCGCCGTGCCGCCGACACGAGGCCCTGGAAGGCCCGGCGGTCCACCAAATTTGAAACGGACCAATGCCCTGCCATGCCGGAACTGTCGACCAATGCCGAAGCACGTAGCCCTCTCAGCTGAGCAGCCCCAACCAATGAACGAGGCCCTGGAGGCCCACGAGGGCCAGGACGACGGGAATCACGACACTTCGAGCCGGGATAGCGAAAATAGCGAACGTAAAGTCAGAGTGCGAGATCGAGTACGAGTGAAATTGTTGCGAGAGTGTCCACGGAGTGATTTATATTGGATTACAGTGTGACGAGCGATTGCGTGAGTACTTTCGAGTGATTGCGATTTCCTAGCTAATATCCCTTCCCTATCCGTCCTTAGTACTTGCTTTTAGACCTTTGTAAGTCCCTTCGGGACATAGCGAGCCGTCCCCACGTGGGCCGGTATTCTAGCGATTCTTTTTGTATCTGCGACGGGCCTTCCGCCCTTAAGCTCGAGGCCCGTGGTATATTGCGTGCGCCCTAATTTTAGTATCTTGCGTCCCTCCCCGACAACCCTCAGCCCTACCCTCTCCCCTCACCCCCTTTTTCCCTTTTCGCGTTCCCACCGAGGTAATATTCAAGTAGCCATTTTGCGATCGAGAACCTTCTTCCCTGAGACACCTCACCTCTCCCTCTGCTAGTCGTGCCATAACCCGTGAAGTAAACAAACGAGGACCTTTCGGGGTCACTCGTCGGTGCTACACCGTTACAGTAGCTGGCGCCCAGATATTGTTCCCCTCCGTTCCCCGACCCCCTTCCCGCCGAGCCCATTAAAGCCCTCCGACACCGCGTGCTCCCGAGTGAGTACACGCGTGACCATTTTGATTGCGTCTTCTAGCCTAAGCCTTCTACTTTTGACTATATTTTCTTTTCTTTTCTGTTATTTCCTGTCTGATTTTGGTTTTACATTTATTTCTGTACTTCGCTTTATTAATTATACCTTTTTTTCTTATTCTACCACGTGTTCCCTTCTTTCTGTTCGAGATCCCCCTCCCGCCCGTAATCGAGATAGCTGCCTTTGCGAGACCCTGGACCAGTTTCGTGGTTCAGCACGTTACAATATATATATACACACACACGAACCTTAACCAATAAATTACCTATCATAATGCTGTTCAGGTGTAAATCTATATTTACGCGATTTTGTGAAACCAAGTATTAGATCTTGTGGTTACACATGTAGTACCCAGTACTTACTTCAGTCGGCAAATCTAAAGAACGGAGGAATGGAAGTTTTGAAAACTCGAACCGGTGCTATACTTTCGACATAGACGTATGTAGATGATATAAGGATGAAAAGTTCAACACTGTCTTTCACGTTTTCAGCGCGTCATTTAATTTATCTTACAGTCTCCTAATAAAAAAGCCGCATAACAAAAGTAGGGAACAACAGGTGCCTTTGGTAAAGTGATGTAAGAACATACGCGGAAGGTATTGGATTTCAGGATTTGGAGTTTGGGTATGGGAGTGTACATGCTTAATCGGATGCTTAGTGGTCATGTCCTCCGTGACCACCACCAGAGTGATCGTTTCCATTGCTGTTGTGAACATGAGCATGGAAACCATGTTTGTCAGCGTGGTACTTCACGGTTCTCACGTTACCACCTGGCTCCTTAAGAGTGTACTCGCCGACTACACCTTCACCTGAAAAACCATTATTATTTTTATGATTTTGTGCACAGCTCGAAGCATCTTTTCGTGACGAAGAAAAAATCTTCTGCAATGTTACTAAAGAGAATATTAAAAGGTATGCTTTCGTAAGACTTACTGGTACAGTGTGTACCCAATTGTAACTATCTGTAACTAATATATTTTCCGTGCGTTTTAACTTTATTTAGTTTATAAAAAGATGACTGCCAACCTTGGGAAATATATTTAATTAGAATTAGAAGCATTTTTAGTTTAGAATTTTGCGTCTATTTACATTCAATAATAATTCGATATTTTTATTCGCATTTATCGATTCGGTATAAATAATGCAACTGCATCGAGTTTCATCAAAATACGTTTACTGCAAGTATAAAACAATTCGCAGTGGTGAAATTGTTTTTCTAGCTTTAATGAAACATTATTTTTGCAAACCCGGCCAGCCTTTCACGCGTATTCAATTAATATCGTTGCAGTAACAATGAAAGCTCCGTGTTATTCATAGTGGGTATGTACGAGTATATTCTACTAGAGATCGTTTTCATTGGAACATGAAATTCTCTCTGCTGGTCAAATTTTAAGAATTTGTACATTTTCATAGTTATTAGTAGTACTCGATTTCTTTTGGCAAATGAAATAAAATCAGAATTTTAGTTTTGAGGCTTTTACAGCCAGAATCATTAGTAGAATACATGGCTTCCGGATGGTTGCCACGTATTGTATTGCCGACGTTTCGTAAACATTCCAGTCTTCATGATCAGGGACAAGGGGGCTCGGATACCGAAGCTTCTTATTTTTCGGGGAGTCCTTAAATACTGGTGTTCGTTGTTCCGGAACACTGGAACAACTGACATAATATTTTAATTGATCAGCTGGTCAATTAAAATGTTAGCTCAGTTGTTCCAGTGTTCCGGAACAACGAACACCGGTATTTAAGGACTCCCCGAAAAATAGGAAGCTTTCAGTATCGGAGCTCTTAGTCCTGATGATGCAGTCTGTAATGTTTACGAAACGTCGGCGATACGGTGAAACTGGAAACGTCAACCATCCGGAAGTCATTAATTCTATTAAAATCATAATTTCTTGATAGAATAGCTCACATGATCTCTAGAGTAAAATTGTAATTCTATTTTTGAATACTGAATTTCATCCAAGGACATTGACGTGCAGAATTTTTCTAATTTTACGTCTATACGATTATGTACACATGTGCATATGCGTACATATGCGTACCTTGACAGACAATTATTATCGCATATTTGACGTTCCAGAAGGATATTTCAGTTTTCCTTTAGCAAGTCTGTTTCCTGTTGCTGTCACAACGAGAACGTCAGTGAGGAACATCTTGCAATAGGAGCAGGGAAACTCACGGAACGTTATTGTTATTCCTGGTGCGAGAAATATTGGGGGCGCCAGTCGAAAGTGATCGTACGAAGGAGCGGAGGAGAATTGAGGAAGGATGAGAGGGCAGAAAACAAGGACGATAGAAGAAAGAAAAAGGAAAGATAGACGAGAGCTAAAGGAGCCGCGAAGGCTTGAGGCGAAGAAGAAACGTGTAATAAAATTCCATTGGCAAACTTACCATCCCTGTGTTCCTTTTGGCCGTGATAGTCGCCCGTATGGTGATCCTCGACGCCATAGGCGAATTCATAGTGGGGATGGGCTACGTAGTCGTGGTGATGATGCCCGTGCTTGTCCTTCCAGGTGACTTCCTGATCGTCACCTTTGACCGGGCCGTGAAAGTGTTGGAAGGAGTGAGCATGACCTCCCGCTTCCGTGTAGACTAGAGCCGTTGCCAGGATGGCGAGGATTGGCACGAACTGCGTGAGTACGATCAAAATGCTAATTTAAGTATCCCGTCTTATGTATAACAGTAAAAGCGTAGTGCTTGTCGCCTGCCGGTAAGTCGAAGATATTCTATAGTTCCTGGAGATAGACTTCGTAGGAGTCCCAATAATGGCACTGAAATTGGATTCGAGTCTAGTTCACCGAAAGGGAATACATTTCCCTTCTTCAATACATCATTCTAATCGCAAGCAATAACGTCCTTGGTTGACATAGCTACCCTCAGCGCGTTTTTTTTTTCACGACACCCGGTAGATAGGTGCTTATAACGCGGAGAGTTTGTTTTTCACCCCACAGAGTAATATTCCTGAGAGCGCCCGATCCAGACCCCAGGGATCTCAGAGGGTGCACAATATAGGCACTAACCCGTCTCCGAATCAGTCAATATATACTACTTATACTTAATCGCCGAGGCAAAGCAGAAGGCCAGGAAGCCGCATCGGCCATTGTGGATTTTCAAAAGAGAAATATCGTGAGTGAAAATCCTGCAGCGATGAGACTACATATTTTCATTTCCTTTTTTATTGGAACTTTTTTTTTCAACGGTAAACGCGTATATATCGGCGTAACGGATGAAAGATTTTTATTCTCTTTTTTTTCCCTCTTGTGTTTTCCTCATTCTCACGTTAGAAGAACACTCACTTTGAAAGCCATTATGCCCTGAGCGAAAGCCGTTATCGATCACCGTGCCGACGATCGTACGAAACTGATTGATACGTTCGACTGGAGTTTGCCTTTTATAGAGAGGCTGTGCGTTTTGCTTAATTCTTAAGAGCTCGACACTCTGTCACTTGTTACAACGGCGAGGGATCACATTACAAAACAGAATTATCTAACAGGCCTCGAGAAAAAAGGACAGACAATGGCGGTGTCCGTTCAAACGGGTGTTAGCCAATTGCCGTCACGAATTAATGGTCTCTACTGTTAGAACGCTTGTTGAGAAAGATTGCAAGAAATTAGGAAATGCCCTTTTTTTCATAGCCGTTGACAATGAACACGCATATATGTATTACACGTGCCAAACGAATGAGTCGTTAGAAATGGCGATGATGCTCGTAAGACATTAAGCTTGTGAGTGTAAGAATTGATTTGATGAAAAATTTTTTTTCTCAAAGGAATTTCATCGTGTATTCAAAGAAATATAGGTAACGACCAATGTAAGAGCAATTGAGCGTTTTGCGACTTGAGTTTCGCAGTAAAATTCTTGCCGCGTATTACGTAGCACATTGCATATAGCTTCATTGCGTTGAGTGGGTCAAGTGTTTCCTGACTTGACGTAAAGAAAAAGCAAAGCAAGAAAGCACTCTTTTCGTATTTACAAAATTCATTGAAAGTATTCTCGCATTCTTGAGAGCGTAATATACAGGGTGTTCGTTATGAAACGCACTGTAGTAACATCATTCCATTCCTTGTCAAATTCTAAAAAACACGTGTATTTTCATTTTTTTATTTCATATACCAAAATTTTGAGATAATCAAGGTTGAAGTTGCAGTAATGCGACCAATCAGAACGTGTTTAAACGGAGCGTAGATGACGTCGCGAGCCAGCCCGCAAGACCTGCTTGCACTAGGCCAATAACACTAAGAGTATCGTCGTTGTGTCCCTGTTTATCTGCATGTAATTGAGTAAGATACAAGAGACGATGCTCTTAGTGTTATCGGCCTTGTGTAAGCAGGCCTTGTGGACTGACTCGCGACGTCATCTACGCTCCGTTTATACGCGTTCTGATTGGTCGCATTACTGCAACTTCAACCTTGATTATCTCGAAATTTTGATACATGAAATAAAAAATAAAAATACACGTATTCCTTAGAATTTGACAAGGAATGCAACGGTGTTACTACAGTGCGGTTCATAACGAACACCCTGTATATATTTCGTAGAATTTTTCATGAAGAAAGTCGTCTCGGAGAGGACTGTAGGAAAGATAGTTTCGATCAGGGCCTACTCTTCTAGGGAATCTGGGACATTCTTCACAATATCCACTCTACTGTATTATGCTGTAGGAAAATATGTATAACCATAGATGGGAAGTTTTGTGAGCATTCGCGTTTTGAGTAATGGCTGTTTCTTTCTTTTTCAGAAAGGGAATCACCGCGTCAAGAACAGCCCATTCGGGTGCAGTATAACAACTTTCCTCGTATCCGATATGTTGGGAGTAATAAGTCTGTCGGCGGCGCAAATGAGATGAGGCTGATACAGAGGGTTGTCGCTGGTAGCCTTAACGAAATAAAGGGACGCTCAAACGCATCTACCGTTCAGAAGACACGAAAGGGTCCTTATACTCAAGCTGTCACACTCTATTTTGAGCAACCTTATATATCTTATAGTTCACTGCTGGTCAATGTTTCACCTTATTATCAGAATCTGGAATCTGAGTGCGATCTTAGAAGCCCGAGCAGAAGATACGTTTAACTTATTGTAGTACGGCGAGAATACTGGTGCAGAGCCTAAGAGAAAACGATGACAGACGTAGCAAGGAATAAAATGGTAGAAATAAAAAACCGTTGGAGGGATGAAATAAGGGATAGGAAAAGAAGTAGGAAGAGACTTAGCCTGAAGAAACTGGCTGGATCTTGTCGGATTGTTATCCGAAAACACGTCGTATCTCCGGAAAAGGGGATATTGAAAATCCTCAGAGTCGAGGACGAACTCTGGTAGTTGGAAATGGCTGATATAGGTGTTATGCCGTAGCTATAGAAGATAGTAAGTAAGTAGCTGGAGGTAGGAAGAAAAGGTAAAAGCATCGGGACGGTTTCAATGGTATTAAAGTTCCCTTCTTCGAGGCCCCTAGGAAGTTACTGTACGTCTCGTATAGCAGCAATCCCGGTAATATCGTGGGATAAAGAAAGGTCCCGGGGGATAAATCTGGAGATTAGCGTGACTGCTGGCTGCGTAACGTGACGCTGCATTCCTCTTATTCTTGGATATACACGGCCTATTGTTACGCTCAGTGGTCCGTTCCTCGCTCCTCGTACCAAGGTTTCTCGCTCCACGAATTCCAAGAGATAGTTCCGCGAAGATAAAGACGAATAGTTCTGTTTGTTCGCGAATTTCGAGGTATCTTTGCGACGTTGGGGAAAGGATAGCAGCGAGGGGCTCGGAGAATTCGTTTATAGGTCACGATCTTCCTTGCTGTCCAGGGACGTGACTCTGCTTCCTGGTTCCCCAGTGTTACTAACCTATATCTCCCTTATACTACATACTCTCGGAGGAGTAGCATCGCAATAACGTGGAATTACGATGGTCTTTTTCTTGCTACCTCTAGCATGGTCGGCTCTCGCGAAACTTTTAAAGCGAGGTTTCCTTGTTGTTTTAGATACTCCCTAGCCACGTCTCTCTCTTTGATTCTCCACTCTAAATCTCCTCATGCCCTTCATTACCTCGTTCGCTCTGTTTTATTTCCTATCTCTCTTTTCGGTTGGATTTGAACGTACACCCTCGTCCGACAATTCGCACAGGAAGTTACTGGTTAATATTAACTGTGAAGTTACGGAGTTTACGCCTAGCGAAGAAACTTTTTAACCCACAAGGTGTAGTTTGGGAACGGCAGAATTTCAAGAACTGCTCCTAATTTTCTAAGTGTCTTGATTACATGTCGATATGGTAGAGTTCTAAAAGATCATAAAAGTGGTAGATGGGAGTGTTAACAGCAATAGCCACAAGAGTATCAATGCAATCGGCTTAATTGGCTTTTATCTCAGTGCTGAAATTGCGGATCTAACTGGGGTACCGATCGTTGTAAACAGGGGCTGTATGCCTTAGGAAAGACGCGATCTTAGCTTTTTCCACGAAACGCTCCTTCGTTCTAAAGGATTTCATGCATACCTACTAAGGTACCTAATTTTCCCACCCGGCTAATTAGTTTTCATCCAGCTCCCAAAATTAGCAGCCAAAGTCGTTCCTAGCATTTTCCACTGCAGGCTACCCGACTGCTCGTAAAGACACGAAATGGGAGTGAGTATCGGAGACTTGGTTCAAGCTGCCACCATTACTAGCACTATTTCTATTGGAAGGACAACACGTTGAAGTGAAACCTTTTCACGAAATAAATTGGCAGGAGCTTTGGTGATGCTTTCCATCCGTAGAAAAGTATCAAATTATCTATGTAATTTAGGTGGCCATTCATGATTGCAGTAAAATAGATAATAGCTACTTTTCATAATAGACATGTTTACAGCCGGTTAAGGATATCCGCTTCAAAAGGGGTTTACAGGCAGAATCTTTCAATTTTTTGTGTTAAATTCTTGAAAAGGAATTATACTCTCATATTTCCAAAAAATATAGATAGGTCAAAGATTTTTTAACAAAGAAATTTGATATCGAAGATTGGGTTTTTGAAAGTTAATACTATGAAATGTATAGCCGGGACTTTTTCCAATGAATAATTCACATACGAAAACGTTACAGATTTCTACTATGAATCAATCCTAAATTCAGGCAATATCCCTCTTTCGATTGAAACGATAAAATATAAGACTTATCGAAATGATAAATGTTAAATTAAACTTGCATTATGATCCGATTTAGAGATTTATGAGAACTTATTTCGCAGTGAAACAACTGTTTGCGATTTGACGAAGTAAATACGTGAACACGTTATGCACGGAATCAAGTAAGTGATATCTTGCTAAACTTACGTATATAAGTCAAAAGTATATGTATATACAACGGATTCAAATTATATAATTCATTAACTCGATTTGAGAATTTAATACCAGTTTGAAACTATTTGTTCTACACGAGGAAATTCAGGATGATATTAAGATTATGGGATAAGGAAACTCAAATGAGTTGACACCATTTTGAGTCTCAAATTGTCAGTTATGTCAAAAAATGAAAATTTCAGAAAATTTAAATCTCATTTTGAACTTCAAGCTCCTATTTCAAGGTAAAATATTACACCCATTTTGTGCCTGGAGACCCTAACTGGTGTTTTCAATCGATTTTCCAAGTTAAGATTATAGCGTAGCGGCGGCGAGAGAACTAGAGTTAATATTCTGTGGTACACTGTGGAACGAGAAATATTTTACATATACATTATACATTAACCACATACAATACTTATAGTAATCAGCTTCTTCCTCAACTGATTGCGAGTAAAATAAAAAACTCGCCATCTAGTCACATTGATTTGAAATATTTATATCGTACAGGTGTGTATTGTTTATTAGTTATGCGTTACTAGTTACTATAGATATGATCACTGAACCATGCTAATGCACATTACTATAAGTTGGTATTATGACCATCAATATAAAAGTTATTACAATTTCTAACAGTTACAACTTTGAAATAGTAGGTATAACTTGCGCACGCGCGTTTATAATCATTAAAACAAATATTGAGAAGTATACTATAAGTATAGTTGTCATGCACAGGTATCGGTAGCTATACCCGTATGGTACAGACAACTATAATATTATTGTTTTTACTATAATTATGTTTTTCACAACTATGAAATTTCAGCTGTGATATTTCGTAATGATCATATGACGTTTTTTCTCAGTGCAGCCGTTCATGAGATATCTATAAAAGAAGATTTCAACTCTTCAGTTTCATTTTGCTCAATTTTTGCACCGGGTATCCACGCAACATAATCAAACCTATTTAATATGTCGAGCTATTGTTCACACCAAATTTGTAGCCAGCATAAGGCTGCCTTCGCAACAGTATTAAGTTATTTTAGCCTTTATCTTGCACATCTAGCAAAATCGACATTTGTGTG